TCTACCAAAATTCAGGTGGCTGCTGGCAGATTTCACAGGGAGACCAGAGCCCAGGCAGCCATTTTAGTGGAGCAAGTATGTTGTCCCCTGCTGCCTCTGAAGGGCCAATGGGCCCCTGAAGTCCTGTCCCTCCCTGTAGATTGCCAGATGGCTCCAGACCACTACTTGCTAATAATAATGTGTTAATTAATGGCTTCCGCAGGCTTAATCCCCTTATTAAGCACATGGAAGCCATTAATTGATTCATTATTAAGCAACCTAAGTGGCCATTAATAGCTTCTGTGGGTTTGATCAAACTGGTGGAAGCCATTAACAGCCACTTAGATTGCTTAATAATGCCTCAATTAATGGCTTTCATGAGCTTAATCAGGGCATTAAACCCACAGAAGCCATTAATTGATATGTTATTAAGAATTCTAAGCAAGTAAAGTCTAAACTGAAATATCTTAATAAAATAAAGCAATGCACACCATAAATTGTAACTAATACCAACTATATACACTTTACTAATATCAACTATATATACTTTAATAAAGGATATTATAAAAAGGAGTTTACTAAAACTGAATACTATCCTTGAGACAGGCAGTTCATGATATGTATTAAATGCAAGCATGCTGCACCCAGCCATAGTCACTACAGCAAATTCTGGGGTGGCTGCAGCCCCTAAAGTAGCCCCCTCCCAGTGCTGCCGCTGCCTGCCCCAACCACAGCCCAGTCCAACCCCCAGCCCACCCATTCTCTGTCTCTGTCGGGTGAACACTTCTCCATACATAGCCATGGCATGCTCAGCATCCACTGAGTTCATAGGGATAGTGAGGCAGTGTCTTGCCAGGACATAAAGATGTGGAAACTAGTCACAGATGGAGTCCCTGAACATGGGCAGAGGTACAGGCATCTGGCAGTCTTTGACAAAGTTCACATAAGCAGCACGTTTATTGTTATGGTCTTTCCTCCATCTCAAAATTGCTTTCAGTAGTCAAGGGTCAAAATTCAGCAAAGATACCTGGTTGGGGTCCAGATTGTGAACAGCATTAAGGAAGGGGGCAGCCAGTTGTCTGAACCACAGTGGCAGTGACAGGTGATACCTGCAGTACTGGTTTAGCTTCACACCTATTGCCTGGAACAGGTCCCTTCTGTGCTGGTTTTCACAAGGACAGCTTATCCACATAGTTATCTTGACTTCTTGCAATGCTCTGTCTTTGACCCAGCTTATCAAATCCATCACCTTGTTGTGTGTGTGGTGGATCACAGCCTGCTGGCATTCAAACCACCACATCAGGAGCTCTATGAACCGGGGGGCATTTTCAGCCACAAATGTCATGTGATCTTGAATGTCACAAATGTCATGTGATCTTGAATGTTGCCTTGTCCTAAGAGAACACAAAGCTTGAGCATGCACTGTGGGCTGAGTGTGAGTTACAGCACCTCACTCACACCCAGCCCACAATTTTGGTAGACCCCTACTTAAAATATCTCCCTTCAGGCATCTCTTCT